CAAAATATAGTAATAATTTGTAAGAAACAAAATGCATCACTTGAGATGTGTATTTGTGTATGTTAGTTAGGGACTCAAAGAAGCTCTACTTGAGATCTTATACAAAGCTTTAGAAGAAAGGTGAGATATGTTCTTTGGATTGTACCAATTAGGAATAGGGGTAGAGGTGTATGTATTTCAATAATCCTTCATAGGAGAGTAGAGTTCTTTGTTATTACTACATGAGACAAGTCATTTTGCCTCTTGGGCACTTTAACTTGCAAATTGCTTCTTTGGCTTTCTACTTTGTACTTTGAAGGGTTGGATGAAATAGTTCAGGGTTTTAGAGTAAGATACCATCTGGCTCTGTTTCTCTTTCAATACATGGTGAGGCAATGTGGTCTCTGACTGTCTGAAGTCAGTAATGGACTGAATAAAAGTGAATGAAGTGATGCTAAGTCCAGGAAATATAGAGTTGCTTATGACGATCGGAGAATTACTGCAGGTAAATCACCCCAGAGGGAGACCACACCTGCGATACAAGGATATCTGCAAGTGGGATCTGAAGGCCTTAGGAATGAGCCTCAACAGATGGGAAACCTTGTCATCCGTCCGTTCAGCCTGGAGGCAGGCGGTGCATCATGGCCCCCTCCCAATTTGAAGAGACCCTTGTCCAGCAGGCCGAGGCAAAGAGGCAGTCCTGAAACCAGCCAAACCAGGGAGCTGGACAGGGGACAGATCTCACCTTTCTTCTAAAGCTTTGTATAAGATCACAATTTGAAGAGACCCTTGTCCAGCAGGCCGAGGCAAAGAGGCAGTCCTGAAACCAGCCAAATCAGGGAGCTGGACAGGGGACAGATTGTATTTGTCTTCAGTGTGGAAGGGACTGTCACTCTCGAATTTGCCTCCTCAGCCACACTAGATGCTGCTCCAAGTCCTCCATACAGAGCGTGTTACCATAGTCTCTCGAGACTGAAGGATGCCTAATTCATAACAATTGGTCTAAAAAAACTGAAGAGCTGTCATTAAGTCAGAGATGGGAATGAGTATTGTTTGCTTATTTAATTTGTATGCCCCCTTTCTCCTCGTTGAGGACCCAACGTGGTTCACAACAATTAAAACTGTATAATACTATAGAAAATTATATTAAAAACAAACATTAATCAAGATTAAAAGAAATTTAACAACATTTTAAAACATTTAGAAATAAATAAATTGTATTAATTGAGCATTCCCCAGACCCACATTTATTGCTTAAAAGGCTACCTAAAAAGGAAGGTCTTTGTCTGATGATTGAAGGATAAGAGAGAGGGGGCCAAACTGGCTTTTGGAGCAGTACATTGCAAATCCTGGAAGCAACTACAGAGAAGGCCCTCTTTCATGTTCTCATCAAATTAGTTTGGGAAGGCTTTGGAACTGTGATAAGGCTCCCTCTCCCCCGAAGATCTTAAAAGCTGAACAGGCTCATGTGGGTTGATATGATCCTTCAAATTCTCTGTGAAGGAAAAATGTTCCAGAATTTCCCTATGTTGGCTGTGCCCAAGAGTTACCTCCCACATGGGATTGTTATCTATGTGCCTTATAGGATTTTTGTGCTGCTTTTGTATGCTCTAGTAGTCATCATTGACTGTTGCACTGTACCTATAAGGGAACAACTCTTGAAAACAGTTGAAAACTTTCAGTTGTCCTAGAATCAAGCGGCTTCGTTCTTGTCCTAAGCTGGCTGCATAAAGCAAACACATTACTTTAATTTTAAAGTAAGTCCAAAGTGCTTCTTGAAACAGAGATAGTGACTATTGGGCTGAAGGTTCATTTGATGGTGATTTCTTGTCCAGAACTCTCAAAGTAGATTTTTCCTGTTTACAGTGGTGCCTCGCAAGAAGAGCACTCCATTTTATGATGAAATCGCATAACGATGAAGTTTTTGCGATTGCAAAAGTGATCGCAAAACGATGTTTCCTATGGGGGAATTTCGCTTTGCGATGATTGGTTCCGTGCTTCGGGAACCGATTCTCGCAAAACGACAGTTTTCCTACAGCTGATCGGCGGTTTAAAAATGGTCGCCGGGTAAAAAGAATGGCTGCCCGCTGTTTTCTGGGACGGATTCCTCGCTGCACAGGCAGCAAAAATGGCCGCGCTATGGAGGATCTTCACTGGACGGTGAGTTTCAAGCCCCTCAGAACGCATTAATCGGGGTTTAATGCGTTTCTATGGGCTTTTTAATTTTGCTTTACGATGTTTTCGTTCTACAGCGATTTCGCTGGAACGAATTAACATTGTAATGCGAGGCACCACTGTACTTTGAGAGGGGAGGCTGAATATGTTTTACTTGCACCAAGCCTTCTATTCCAAAGCTAGTGATTTTTTAATTTTGTCACCTGTGTTCATGATTACCATGCACTGATTTTAATGACAGAGGTTGTGAACTGATTATTGTGTGAAAATAAACTGTGAGCTGCTGTGAAAATTTCATTATATAAATCAAATATGCCAATTTAATAAAGAAAACTCCCTCTGTATGTGGAAATCTAGTACATAGGGAGAAGACTGCACTATATAACTTTTCTTCTTGACACACTCCATGGCATGGAGCATTTTAACTGAGGGAGAATTTAACTCTTAAAATGGTGAGGATAGAGAGATGTTTGGTTATGCAGAAATTGATCAGGGAAGCACTGTAGCCTGAATGTAGCAGTGAAGACTTGCAAGACTTGCACACTTCTACTTTCACCTCCCCCTCTTTCTCTTCCGTCTCCTTTCCCTTTTCTTCTTCACTTTCGCCACTAACTCGTTGACTCTTTTTTCCATCCTCCTTTTCCATTTTTACTTCTGCGGACGGCACACTCTTATTTTCCGCACCTTCACAAGACTTTATTTCCTTCTCCACTCATACAGAAATGCAGTAGCCCTTGGGCAAAATAGCTACCAAGTGCTATGAATCATACAGTTAATGGGCATAGCATTTTTCCAGGCTGCGGATAAGCCTCCTGAGTCCCTGGAGGCGAGAAGCCATGCCTTCATGTTCTAGACATTGGAGGCTACAGTGACAGAAGCTCAGTGGCTCCTTCCTAATATATCAAATAATTTCTGCAGAAGGTTCATGTTGCAGGGAGACTTTGACCTTGTTCTTACTGAGCTGTGACCAGTAATATACCATTCACACTATATGTATGGGGAGCTCTTGTTCCTTATAGCTTATATATGCACTCAAACGTCTGCATACAGAAGGCTGAAATATCAGTGGAAAGGCCAGTGTGGTGTTTACCCCGTGGCCCCTGTTTGTTTCACCAAACACAGAACTCACAAAGGTATCCCAGCATGCCCTTTAACACGCTGCCACCTGTTGATCTCTTTATCAACCTATATTTCCTATGAAAGACTGAGGTCCATTCAGTACTGAACTTTTAAACAGAAACAGGTTTGATTACACGTTCTTTTAGGAATAGTTTATTTATTTATTCAATTTATACCCCACCCCCCTAGACAGCGTCTACTCGGGGCAGCTTA